TGTCTCCAAACAAAGTATCAGCTTTTCCAAATACGTATTACACGGTCAGCACTCATAAGGCCCAGTTCTTACTGCTGGCAGACATGAAGCTGCCAACCCACAAGCTCTTTGTAGAGGTACAAGGGATACCCCCCCCTGCTTCCTTCCCCCTCATTCATATAGGCTATGAACAGTGCTATTTTACTAGAAAAAGGGGTGCCAGAACTCACCATGAACACCTCCCTTGTTCTCTCATAATGGCACCCACCTAAGAGGTGCCAGAACTGAGTTCCAGTGAGTTCCAGCAGAAAGAAAGCCCTGGTTACTATATAGCCCTGCAAGCTGCCCCCCAAGAGGAGAAACACATATTTGCACATCACAATTTAATTACTTTACCCAATTGATAAAACAAAGTTTGCTCTATTTGGATAGTAATACATCCTGTTGATTCAGCAAAAGCTTCCTTCATAGGTAAATAAACAGATGCAGAGGCTTATCTGTCCGGTGGTCTATAAGCCTAAACAAATACAGTGTTTCCTTCTAAAACTGAAGGGCACTAAAAAATCCAGGACTGTCATGATTTTATCTCACTACTAATGTTTTGCAGTGCAATCCTAGACTGTCTTTCTTTCTTTCTTTCTTTCTTTCTTTCTTTCTTTCTTTCTTTCTTTCTTTTTCTTTCGCATCCACCTAATCAGGTTCTGTGGACAGTTTCCATAAACAGTGAAATGAAAAATACCATTTACCAAAAATGCTACTAAACAAAGATAAACAAGCCAAAACAGTGGCAAGCCCAACTTAGATGTGCCATTTAATTCAATGGAGTTTGCTTCAAAGTAAGTGGGTACAGGATTGCAGCCTTAATTATGTTAATTACAGTACCATAATGTTCAATGGATTAGATCTATGCACCATAGATCTATGTACTCAATTCCACCCTATCTTGAAAGAGTTTGGGCTTGTGCTTCGCATCAGGATAGCTACTCATGGAGCAGATTACTCAAAATCTGTTTACTGGCAGAGAGGGGAATGCCTTTCATCTCCTCTAACAGGATGGTGTAGAGGATCACTGCTGTCAAGAAGTCATGATGAACTTACTGGATTTCAGGTCTGACTCAGCGTGGAACTTCCTATTGTCCCATGTAGAGGTCACATTCTGTAGTTTGCGGTTTGATTTTTGTGGACTGCATATGCTTCACATATGAGGGAACAGTAGGGTTGCGAGATATCTTGGACACTGGCCATGAAAGGCAGCTTTGGATTTCCCCCCTAGGAAATCTACCCATCCTTGGCATATACTCCCACCCATCAAAATGTGATTTTAAAACATGTAAATTTGATTTAAGAGTCCTTGTTAGATATAGCCTAGCTGTCTAGCTAAGTTCAATGAACATAGGTTAGAGTATCTTTGTTTACTTTATAGGTCAGAATATCTTTGTTTAGGTACAGAGTGTGATCTCAGCATTTTAAAGGCATGGATCTAGGGATAGGCATTTGTTGGGGGGTTATATTACAATGAAGACTGTTTCTCCACTGTAGGGATATCGCGGAGTGGGCAGTGAGGTCAGGAGGGAGCACACTCCCCACCAGCAGGGAGCCACAGTCTGCCTGCACGCGTGACCTTGGGGTGCAGGGCAAACTCCCCCTCAGACAAGCCACGGCTGTCGGAACATCGTCCCCTCTGTCTAACCTTTTGCGGTCTCAGTAGTCGGCGGTGTCCTGTCTGTAACCTTTGTCTCTGAGACCTTTTGTCTCCTTCGTCATACACTGTGCAAGGGGAAAATGACGCTGTGGAACAGGTGCCAAAATAACTTTGTACCACCCCATGATCTCGGGACGGAAGATGTGTAAAGGTCACAGCCCAAAATGTATCTGCCTAGCTTGCATATTTGTCTCAATAAAAGGAGGCTCCACAGGACTGGCAGCAGCTCGCTTCAGCCCACCTGTGCGCAGCTCACATGATGATCAACCCCAGTCTTGGGCCTTCCTTCACTCCACTACAACCGCTCCTTACTGTTACCCCTTCATGAACTACTGTTATGATGATGACCCTCAATTAAAACTTCTTTCCAAGGTTTAGCATGGGAAATAAATGTGAAAGTTTCGAAAACGGTGAATTCTTGTGGATTTTTTATTGGAAATACAGAGAAGGACGTGGCTGGTCTGATTTTACGAGATTATGTTAAAGGAAAATGGAAATATCTGGCACCTTGCACTTAGCACTTTCAAAAAATATTCCAAAAGAGCACACATTTGAAGTCAGGGTGGAAAAACAATTCAAAGTTTCCTTTTGTATAGCCCTTCCTAAAATAAAATAAACACCCAGGCTTTCCTTGCAAATTCTGTGCATCAATATAAGTGCCCTTTTTGTCTGTTCTTTTACTGTGAGCACAGTATGTGCTGGAGACCGGGTAGTATAAGGGGAAGAAGTTCTGAACAAGATGTTCACTCTCAGTATGTTAGAAAAAGTGACAGAGAATGTGATATATTTGCTTTGCTGTGTGTCCCCTTCCACTGCCACCCCTTGGTTTGGGGTGATGACAGCTGTGAAATTATGGGTTTAATCTTTGTCAAAGTGGGTTGCATTTTTGGACTAACCACATTTACTTGGGAGTAAGCCTCATGGATTTTAGACAGCATTTCAGAAGCAGATATATTTACAACAGAGCATTCACCCATTTTGCTAGACATCTAAAGGGATGGCAAAATGATTATGAACATATGAGGGTGCCTTCATCATGAGTCATAGGACTGGTCTGTCTGGCTCAGAATCCTTTACTATGACTTAGAGATGGGAGACAAATTCAATTCACTTTGCATTTAAAGCCATGTTTATCAAATTTGCATGGTCTGAAACAGCCATCTTTCAAAATGTGCACTAATCTGAATTTTGCACTGCAGTTCTCCAACTAAACAGAGGTTACAAAAAGATCTATATTCGGGGGGAAATGTGTATAGAAATGAACATATCAGTGGAAATAACATGCCATAATGTATTCTAATAGGAGAAATTGCAAAATTTTATACCTTAGCCAAAATTGCAGACAAAAATGTGTTTATTTGGAGAAATTTGTATTAAAATTCTGATGAATTCCCAAGAGGATTTTTTTAAAATGACATTAGCATATTGCTGCAGAAACCTGTAGAACTGAATTTGAGACTGGAAAATGAGAAACGAATAGAACGAAAATTGTCAGATTCTTCCCTGCTCCACCTGGCATTGCTTCCCCAGGGTTTGGAGATTTCCCCTAGTTCTGTTTACTTAGGTCCCATCCTGAAAATGTCAGCATTTCAGTTTTCAATATGCATTCTCTTGCATGCAAACATTTAGCAGCAGCAGCAGCAGCAGCAGCAGCATAAACCGCTTTGAGGGGTTGTTTTTTTACAGCCAAGTGGTAAATAAATTTTATGAAATGAATAATAATAATAATAATAAAATTATTGTTGTTACATGTATTACCTGCCCTTCACTAGCAGCTCAAAGGGCAGATTACAACAGTTTAAAATTCTGAATTAAGAACAGCTAAAACACATTACAGTCACAAGAATAGGGTGGATCCTGAAAACACATATCTCAGGTGTCATAGGCCAGGGCATGTGTCAGTCCACTGAGCCACGGTCACTCACTTGTTTGGTACTATGAAAAGGGGATATACATTTGCTGCTTTTTTAAATGGGAAACCTGGGGGGGGGGGAGACTTGGACACAGAAATTTGGTGGTGCTTCCATATTTATTTATTAAATAATCTGCACACATGTATCCACATGATGGCTAGAGCCAGAGAGCTGCCATTGTTCAAAACAAAAATGATGGTTTGGGGGGCAGGGAATTAGAATATGAGTATAGCAAGGAAATGGTTTGAGCAGGCCGGATAACGTTTACAGCGACACGGAGACAGCTAAGCCATACTCAGAGTAGAGCCATTGAAATCACGAAACTTGACTCCTTTGGTTTCATGGCTAACATTGGATATAGCCCTCAAAATGTACAGTGTCTGTGTTGGTTTACTGATATAAGCCAAGTCATACTTCATATGATATTGCTGAATATTGGACCCCTCCCATCCACAGAACGTTGCCCTATTATGTATTCAAAGCATTTGAAGCTGTCAGAGACTGAAGCAATAACTACATGGGAATTCCACAAGCCAGACAAAACAAAGAGAGCAGGAAGCATTCCCTCGGTGTGGCAGGGTCAGGAGTACAATATTCAGTACAATAATATGTATTGCAAATTACCTTCTCCAGGTGGCTTTTGCTAACAACTATCTTTCTATTCAGTGTGTCTGAACTGGCTGTGTGAATCCCCAAGGGGACCCCAGAGGCATAGTGCCATTTAGAGGGCCTTGTGGAACAAGCCCAGTGGCATCAAAGGAAGCAGCGTATTGCAAGAATTTTACGGAGCCAGGCACCCTATCCTCCCTGTAGAGTTCAGTGAGGCAATTTCCCCTCTGAGGAATATTATTTGAAAACATTTTTGTCTGGGTTAAATCATACAGAGTATATATTGGATAGTTAGACAATGGCATCTTTACATTGTAAGAGGATATCCAACAAACCCAGAAAAATGTTGCCTAGAATGGGATGGGGGTGGGGTTTAACTATTCTGAATGTTTTCATAATCAGGTCTATGTGGAACTCAAGGCTAGTTAAGCTCTCATGCTTCCCTGGAGATGATAGATAGATAGATAGATAGATAGATAGATAGATAGATGATAGATAGATGATAGATAATGTCTAGCTCTTCTCCCTGTTTTTGCCCTAGGTTCTCCTTCTGATATTCAAACACAAAAACAAAGAAATTCTCTTCAAGCATTTTAAACCCCCACCCCACACACAATTAGAAGTACAAGACGAATGAGGATAAATGGGCCAACGTGTCAGATATGGTTTCTCATTTTCTCAATTTCTAAGTTAAGTCGGCGCCGCTGCCTCCTCGCTCTATCCCCCCTCCCACCTTCACTCCCCCCGCCCGCGCGACGTTGCTGCTGCTCCCCACTCGCTCCCCCCTCCCTTCCCGATCCCCCCTCTCGCCGAGCTGAACCCCCCCTCCCCCGCTCGTTGCCGCCGCCATGGACCCGAGCAACTGGAGCAGCTTCATCTTCCAGCAGAGTCATACACAGAACCCTCTGCAGGTTGGGACCGAAATCCAGTCCAGATTTTTTGCTGCTCAGGGCTGCAGTCAAAGCCCCTTCCAGACTGCCACCACAACAGCCCCTCCCCAGCAGACAGCCACCCCTGCTGAATCCCTCCAAGTGGATCTCCTTCCAGTCTTGGCTGCAGCCCAGGAAACAGCCGCTGCTGCTGCTGTGGTTGCTGCCGCTACTGGCTCCGCACCATCTGCTTCCACAGTAGACACGGCCGCTTTGAAGCAGCAGCAACCTTCTGCTTCTGAGGGTGGCGGTGGGCAGGTAGCACCATCCTCTCAAACTACACAAGCCCCAACCTCCCAGGCGGCTTCTGCTACGCAGCAGCAAGGTGATGCCCAGAAGAAGCCCAAGAGCAAAGGTCCCTACATCTGCTCCCTGTGTGCTAAAGAATTCAAAAATGGCTACAACCTGCGGCGCCATGAAGCCATTCATACGGGGGCCAAAGCTTCTCGCGCTGGACCCACGACCATGAAGATGCCCACCATGGTCCCCCTCAGCTTGCTTAGTGTTTCCGCCATCGGTGGCACAACAGCAGCAACACCTGCCCCTGCCGAAGGTGCAGGAAACACAGCAGGGTCAGGAGCAGGGCTGGTGACCACTACAGCATCAGGCAAACGCATCCGGAAGAACCATGCTTGTGAGATGTGTGGGAAAGCCTTCCAGGATGTCTACCATCTCAATCGGCATAAGTTGTCTCATTCAGACGAGAAGCCCTACCAGTGTCCTGTCTGTAGTTATGCGAACCCCGAGCGGTCGGCGTCCAACTTCTTAGAGGGACAAGTGGCGTTATTTTCTAAGTTAAGTCCTCCACATTTCTGCATCATTCTTTTTTCATTTTCCAAAGTCCTCATAAAAATTCACCAGCATTTTAATGCCAATTTCTCCTAACATGCATTTTAATGCAACTTTGCTTAATATAAATCTTTTTACAAGCAATTTCCCCTAATTTAATGCATTTTTGTATACTATTTTCACTAATTCGTGCTTTTATGTACGTTTCCTCTAGTATGCGCATTTTTGTACACATTATCTCGTTGGGAAGCTGCATCAAAATGGTTGGATGGCTGTGTTTTGGTTCACATATTGTTTTGGGAAGTACAGATAAGGTAGGCTTGCATTTAAATGTGACCTGCATCACATTTATCCTACCTCCTTAGGGACGAGACAAACTGGCCTCTTCTCCCATTCTTACTCCCAGCCTGCTCACAGGTCCTTATAATATCAGTGGAAACAGTTGGTCCTGGCGAGTATTAACCGCTTTCAATTTTAACCTAAGGATTGTCATTTGTCCAGTTTTAACTTTAACTTTAATTTATTTGAATTAATTTTGGGATGCATTTTAATCAATTGATTGCTTTTATGCATATTGTATTATTTATAAGATGTTAGCTGCTCTGAGCCAAGCTCTGGCCGGGGAGGGCAGGGTACAAACAATTTATTATTATTATTATTATTATTACCCTCTGTGAGTTGCTCTACCCAGCTGGTGCCTTCCACCATTCCTCTATGTCCAGCCAGTCTGTGATATGCAATTGAGTAAAATATGGATGCAATGGACACACACACACACACACACACACACACACACACACACACACTTATATACACATCACCAGTTATGAAGTGCCTCTTGGAAGGGGCTTATGACGTGCCTCTTGGATGGAGCTTTCAAGTAGTGCTTCAACTATTTGGCAAATGTGCAGTCTTTGATCAAGGGGAGAGTGGAGTCCAACCTATTCAAATCTCAGAATACTTCTCTCCAGCTGCACGGAAATCTAATTTGAATGCATTGTAGTGTGATTCTTTGTCAGGTTTTTAGCCAACATTTAGATTCCCCTTAATATTTTCCTCCTGGACTTTTAATACATAGAGCCGAAGATCTAAACTGAACAGAAGGAAACAAAATGAAAGCCTTTCATCCTTCCGCTATTTTCTCTTCTGTTTCAAGTTACCCAAATGATGAAATGGTCACAACCTTTGCCTTTATTTTCTTCATGCTACTTTTGCGAGCTGGCTTTGCTTTACTGCAAAACTTGACCGCTTCAGAAACCAGTAAAACATGAGAGGAAGAGATTAGTATAACCAAGAGAAATACAGTGTAATCCTAAACACGTTTACTCAGAAGTAAGTCTTCCTGTGTTCTACGGGATTTATTTCCTTGTAAGTGTGCATCAGATTTTAGCCTAATAGTGCAATTCTGTGTATATTTATTTGGGTGTATCGTTGTGTTCAGTGGGGATTACTCCAAGGCAACTTTTAGGACTCCAGCATAAACCTTATGCCCTTTACTTGGGATTAAATTCAAGTGAATCATAGACTTGTAGAGCTGGAATGTACCCTGAGGTCATCTAGCCAAACCCCCTAAAATGCAGGGATCTCAACTGAAGCATCCATGACAGATGGCCATCCAACCTCTGCTCAAAAACATCTGAGGAAGGAGAGTCCACCATCTTGAGAGAGAGGCTGTTCATCTGTCAAACAGCTCTTATCACCAGAAAGTTCTTTCTGATGTCAGAATCTCCTTTCTGGTAACTTTCAGTTCTATTATCCACAGCCATTTATAAGCTGGGTTTGTGTGGTTATGTTCTGCATTATTAACATAAATAATAAAATAATACCAAGCAGAAATAAATTTATCATTGCTTTTTGACTTCTAGAGGTTCTCAGGTTATATGTATCAATAAGAAATAACTGCTCTTGCTAGATCCCTCCAAAATGGAGCTGCTGTGGCTTTAGTCACAGTTAGCATATGGATAATCAACTCCTTACAGTGTGATCCTTTACCATTCTCTTAAAAGACATTTAGAGGAACTGGTTATTGGCAGCTTTGTTAAAAAGCAAGTCCACCCCAACGAAGAGAACACCTTGAAAAGCATTAGGGTTTGATTTATTAATAAATCCCTTTAGCCTCTATTGATTCTACTCCTTTTGAATTCCCATCAACAGGTTACTATCTCTTGTCATATGTCAACCACAACTGATCATTAAAATTAATATATATGCAATCCTGATACTGTTCTCGTGGTTAAATGTTCTAAAGATTTTTGAAACACTATTTTATTCAACAAATAAATTGTTTGCATCATTTCTATTATTTCACTAACATTAATAATGGCAACAGGACTTAACACAGTAGTTTAGGGATGTTTATAGTTTGTGGGAGCCAAACATTTTTATGGCTCCGAGCTGCAATTTGAAAATGGAATTTGCCCTACAATATAATTGAATTAATGCTAAATACACCACCAAAGAGAAATTGTGGGATCACATCCACACCATACATTTAAGGGACATGACTTCCCCCAAAGGGTCCCAGAAATTATAGTCAACCCCTCACAGCAGCCATCTTGGGCTCATTGAGAAAAGATGGGATCAAAGTGTTTTAAATAAATATTAGCACTCTTGTGACTTAAGGATACTTTAAATTGAAACCATGAAAATAGTATAATAACCGAAGTTGAAATAGGTTTTTCATTACCATTCTGCAGAAATACCATACAAAGTAGCATAGACTGCCACAATAATTCTATGGTAGATTTCCCAGTCTCAGGTTGTATCATCATAGTGCAAAACTGTCTAACTAAACTAAAAATGAGTTTCTTCATCCTCAACACTTATGTGGGAAAACATTGCATAGTGTTTCCAACAAAGATTTCTGCTTCCAGTTGGCAGGCAGGTCGTCATCATCAAGAGAATGTTGAGTCCCACACTGGAAATGACATTTAGACTGGCTTTGAGAAATGGTTCTATTTTGGGATGGTTCTATTGAGTGGATATTTTGCATCTAATTCATGGGGGGTGGGAGCAATCTATAAATTTCAGTAATGTCCCACAAAGACTCTCCTCCTTCAAGAGAGGGGAGGGGTTGTGGGCGGGATCCGATCCCAGCCTCAAGCAGGGGGCGTTAGCCCCCTGCCGCCCACTCACCTGGCTGGCGTACCACGACCCTCGGTGACATCAGGGGAGAGCTTATAGTTGGATTAGCATCAACGGGCTCCACCTACTGATGAATAACCCCCCCTTTTCAGACTCACCCCTCTCCGAGTGGGTGGAGTCAAGTCACGTGATCCAATGCCTAAGCCAATACCTTTTCATTTGCTGTAATCAATAAAGTTGTGGCCTTTTCTTGCCCATTAACCTTATATTGCTTGTCCTCGTGTCTTCATTTCACTACGTGGGGATCGGGTGCTCGAACCACAATCCACAGTTATGTTTTCTGTATTTGGCTTAACTATACCTAACAAAGTGTCACCAGATGCTGCCATGCTGGCAGGGTGCGGAATGAGGAAAAGATTAATTGTTGATTGTGTCCTCTAATAATTTGTGTATGACTTGAGATTATGGCTTTGTTGACACCAACACGAGGTACTTCATTTCCTCAATGTCGCTTTGCACTCAACTGCTTCCACTTCTCATAAGCAAACAGCAGAATGAAGGTTTATTTCACACACGGATATACACACCTTCCCTATAAAATATAGCGGCCTACATTATTACCGTGATGAGTTTGCATCCATTGTTGGTGCCAAGCATTTTTCTTCTGGCAATTTCTGTGTTCCAAAATCTAAAACATGTCTTTGAGTAATTTTTTAAAAAATTAAAATTTCACTCTGGGTCACTGGCTCTAATGTGAAGAAATCAGGCAAGTGTGTTTGAAGCTCATAGCAGTAACCCCAACTTGAAAGGAATAGCTAAAAGCATTTCATCTCCCTGAGCTGAAACATGTTTGTTGAAATTGGCCAGCCTTTGGGGGAAAGTTGTATTCATATCCAAAATAAAGAGAGGGAGTAAATTAGGCTGAAACATGTTGTTTAGGATAACACTCAGTTTTATTAAAAGCTGTGCACAGTTATCCAGGCTTCAGCTTTTGCATTAGATCAGGAATGGTCAATGTGGTGCCCTCAAGATGTTGCTGGACTGTGACTCCTATCATCCTTGACCATTGCTCATGCTGACTGGGGTTGGTGAGTCTGACAACATCTGGAAAGTACCACATTGGATGTTTGATACCCTGGTGTGAAAAAGATTGCCTATTAGTGAAATGACACCTCAAGTTAACGGACTGAAATTTTGGCTTCCTTGTTTGAGGTCATGTCTTGCATACAGACCATGGAACTGGAATTTTTCAACTTTTCCTCATTTTCACTTCAGCTATGAAATAGACTTCCCCTTGCTCTCCATACTCTGTTCTCATAAAGGAAAGAATGCAGCCAGGAGCTGCAACTTATCTCAAATGAAATTCCCATTTATATAATGCTCCTACTTGAGGAGGGGAAGGCAGTTTACTTCAAAAAATCACAATGCACCTTGCACATTAGGAGACAGATGAATCTGAACCAAGAGCAATTCAAGATGTCTTCAGTAAAAATGGTTTAGTGCAGCAACGTCATCAAAACACTTGTTTAGCAGTAGCAAAATGTTGCAGCAGTCCATCACTTCAGTTTTTTTATAAAGCTTCATTCCCCTCATCAACATGTGTTCAGTCCTGCATTGACTTCATGTTGGAGTTACCATCTCCCTGAATTGCTTTCATATCACATTTGATATTAAAAGAACCATCTTTTCAAAGAAGCATGTACACGCAGTTATCCCTTTCCTAGGATTTTATACACATGCCTAAGTGAATACAGCGGTTTGAGAGTGGAAGGTATAAATTTTCCTGGCATTTTCCATGAAGAATGTAGGAAAAACTCATACACTTTTCTATCCATGAGGGGTTTTCTGGCCATT